CTTCAAGTTTTGTTTACTTTGTCTTCAATTTATATCGGTGGCCTCGGAGATTTTTCTTTTGTGCTAGTTCAAACGATCGGCCAATTTATGTGCACAGTCTACTCCTCTGTCGATTTGAAGACCATAATAATTTCCCCTCTGTATCGCCTATAATGGAGAGGAAAGATTTTGAGCCTTTCTAGCCGTTCCTCATAAGGTAGGCTTTTCAGACTAGTTTAGTTGTCTTTCGCTGCGCCTTCTACAAGAAAATGAAATCTTGTTTTATCCAGGGGCGCCACGCCTGAATGCCGTATTCTTAAATCGGCCGGATGAATATTCCAAACAGTAGACCGAAAAGTTCTTTATCAAAGTTAATGAAGGATCTCCTGATCGCTCACAGGATGCCCATAGACTTCTTTGCTATTTTGGCGCAGTCAGACGAGGGTTTGAGAGTGGACGCCATCCACACACCTAGGTCCTTTGCCTCGTTTACAAGCTCGAGTTCATGACTTCCGATGAAATATTAATATTCAGATTTCAAATCCTTTCTGCAACTACACCTTAGTCGAATGAATTGGCACTTGATATAATTGAGGTCAAGAAGCCATTCATCACGCCACTCTTGGGGCAGTCTAAGTTGTTTTGCAAGTTTAACGCGTCCTCTGGCCTTTCAATCGAATTCTCAATCTTCATACCTTCAGCAAACATTATCTTCTCGCAGGTCAGACAATCTAGGCAATCGTTCACACATACTAAGAACTGAATGGGACCCAGAAGGCTCCCCTGCTGAACCTTCAAGTAAACTGTTTCCCACTCCGATTCGGCGTCACAATGCGCATACGTTGACGTCGGTCTGGGAGGAAATCGGTCTACTAACAAGCATACCTCCAAGGATTTCGTCCAGCTTTCCGTTGCTGTGAGTAGGTTAGTGACGCAGGATCGGACACTACTAAATCCATGTTGATGCTCACTAAGTCAGTCGTTCTCTTCAATATGTCTCATCAGACCCATTTTTGTTATTTTCTCCATTAATATGCAACAAATTATTGTGAGTTGCACTGGTCTAAAGCTATTTGACGAGGTTTCCTCTGCCCCTTTACATATGGGGCTTATGTTTGCTGTCTTCCAGTCAGTAGACAGAGCCCCCACTTCCACTGAACTTTCGAAGGTTTCGGAGAGCGGGCAGGCAAGTTGGTCTGCGAGTTCCTTCAGAACCTTTACGGATTTGCCATCCGGACCAGGTGATCTAGTGTGTTCTAGCAGTCCCAGTGTTTTCTTTACTGCGTCATTTGTGAATATCATCGTGTTATTTATATTTCTAGACGGAGCAATTTGTTGGTGTACTTTTTCATCAAAACGCGGCACCCCGGTATACACGGACATGAAGAAGTGGACGGGAGATTCGTCTTATCTGAGGTATCAGGTAGCTTATTTCCCTGAAAATTCCTTAGACAATGAATGGAGTCCAGGTTGCGTTTTGTCCTATTTACGTATGCAAAGAACTTCTTCGGATTTTTCGGTATTTCTTTGACTATTGTTGACACAAATGTCGCTCGTTCTCCCCTCACGAGAATCCGACGCGTATTCCGCTGTTTCTTAAATTCTGAGAGGTGCTCGGACTGTTGACAGCCAGCGTATCTCCTCCAAACTGTGCTTTTGTTTCTAAGATTTCCTTTTATTCCCGGTTTCATTCACTTCGGTAGGGTGATGCACTATCTTCTTTTAAACGGACAACGGTTTTCCACCAAGTATCTATTTACGTTCTTAAAGAAACCTCGGGCGGCGTTTGGGTCACAAACATGCGCAGGGTGCCATTTTATCTCAGTCAGTCGGTAACGACCGTGAAACAGCTGTCTGCGTCTGGCGTGTTGCACTCCAAGAGAGCTGCTCATTAATTATTTTATTTTGAAATATTACTCTTTTCAATGCATCTCCCCACTCTACTTTTCTAATTGCGGGTACGGAAAAATAATTGTAGGACGCGATGATCACTTCGGCCCAGGTGCGTGTTAAAAGTCAATCCAAGGACAGAGTTTTAATCTGCGTTAACGATGAGGTTCAAACAGCTTGACTGCTGTCCTCTTAGGAATCGGCCATCCACTGTAAAGTGTTGAGTAAGTAACTCGTCAGTGACCAACTAAAGTAACATATGTTCAGATAGGTTCTCCGATCGCGTGCAGTGCAACGATTTTCAAGTGATATCTGGAGAGTTGAAATCTCCAAGTATTATTACATTTTTGCTAAGGCAGATTTGCTTTAATTCTGTGATAAATGTATCGTGCATATCCTTCCGCTGTCCTGGGGGTCTGTATACCAGCGCAATATGGAGGTCCGGTTGGTTTGATAATTTTAATTCATGAATAATGATATCTGAACCGGCGTTCCCCTTTTTGGCGAGGACCCATCCGTTACGTAACTAATGTCGCGCGTACGAACATCGCGACTCCCCCAGCCCTACGTCCGCCTCGATTCATGTGGATAAGCTGAAAGCCATCCAACGTGACTTCTGCGTCTGCTGTCTGCACATTTTACCATGTTTCTGTTACAGTCAGGTTGCAACTAGGTCATGGTCAGCTTCATTTCGTATATTTGGTTGGCAAGACATTGTGCGTTTGTGTACATCACCATCGTCACCATCATATTTTGTGGCTCTCTTAGTCTCTGGAAATTGATTGTTGGCTCTCTAACTCGAAAAATTACTGCTGTGCACTTTACACGACATGTCCGATTCACTGTCTGTCTTCAAATTTACAAGTTTTCGATGACACTGATAACTGGCGTTGAAACCGTAAATCTCACCGGCGATTTCATGGAAATTTGCGTTCTGTTTTTATAATTTCATTGTCTACAACCGTAAGATTTTTCCCTCCCTTGCTCCGACGCCTATTCAGCCCTGCTACCAGTGCTCTCCTTTTCATTTGATCATGGGAGAGTAGTCTGGCTGAAAAAAACACTTCAGAATTGTTATTTCTTAGCCTAGATTTTCTAGATAAGATTAGATCCGCCTGCTGCTTGTTCCCCAAGACGACTTTCAATGTTTTTCGTCGCATCTCCTCCGCGTCACCTTTACTTGCAGGCCACAAGCGGAACATCTTTTGAAATTCAGCCACCACACCGGGTTCTTGGGTGTCATTTACTAACTTTTGGAATGTCAAAACGCCCCGTTTGACCATCTCCTTTGGGATTTCGCCAGTAGCCTCATAGACTCCTTGGATCACCAAACAAAGTGATCTTTCAGGGTAATAACCGGTTTCTCATCCCGCTTCTTATTATTGATGGTAGGTTGAATCACAGGCTATGGTTCTACCTTTATTATGATGCTTACATTGTTCTCAATCAGTGAGTTCAGTGCTTTATTCTCAAGCGTCGCTTTGGTTGTTCTAACCATATTCACTTCCTCTGACTCTACGTCCGTTCGACTACCGTCCGGCGGACGTGTTTATAGGCTTATGGCGTTTAGGTCTGTCACTAAGTTACTGACGTCCGTGATGTGCGCCGTTACGTCTTTACTTTACTGCATCACATGATTTCTCACATTATAGCCCGATAGAGAAGTGCAGAGCGAGCTGCTAGCGCTCTTTTGTGGTATAGGTAAATCCATAGGACTACTGTCTTTTGAAGTCTTCGATCGCAGTTGCATTTTGGTGAAGACGGACTCTGTATGAAGTAAAGGAAATGCGAAAGTCACTTCCATCTCGGTCAGTTTATTTATATTTTCCCGAATTTTGATTGAGTCGGAAGATTCCTATGACGACGACGTACGTTGCTCCTTCTTGTTTCGCTGACTGTGACTTCCGCAGTCACTTTCCGGTTTCTTGAGATTTCTGTGGTCCGGCTCATTGATGTTATCCATGTCTTTCATATCGTCTTCTAAGGGTATAATTTTGTGACGCATGAAGAGTGATGCTATAAACTCAGTGGGCAAGAATCTACATGTGTACGACAAAAATTCGGCATTCATCGACGATGAATTTTGCGGAATCGTAATCAAATTTACACACATACATGTACGATTGAAATGCGTTCACCGATTGGGCTACGAGGCCAATCTTTCCGTTCTGCTTCGGGACCTGACAAGAGCCAGACACTCAATGGTAGAAAGAATTGTAGTGTAGGTAGAAGGATATTAACGGTAAGCTCGGTCTGCCCGAATGCCTGCAGAGCGCGAAAACACAACGGTACGAGAAGTTCCTGCGGACCATTTGGTGAACGCATTTCAAACCGATTTTGTATCTTTTGCGAATAGTCGGTTGGGCAAAACCGTACACCACAAGCCGCATTAGTGATAATTTTCGCAAAAACCGCAAAGATCAATCTCGCCTAGTTTGTCTGACCAATTTAGAATGAACGGAGCTGCGAGGGAATTTTCTTGGCAGGGTGTAAGTGTTTTCATGTGCAGATCCAATCAAAAAATATAACGTAATTACCGGGGCAGAAATGCGGATTTCCATTTTTTTCTGACGTAGATCTCATGCCAATAAGATTTACACACCTATGACTAGCACAAGGGCTAGGCCAACACCGTTTATGAACTAAGTCCTCAAATCAAAGCTGTATTTTCTCAGATGTCCCTCGTTTTCCTTGTTTAACATTGTTTTCTTTTAAGTATCTAAAACTTTACTATTTACTTGACAGTTTCAGTTCTAACCTCTGCCATTCAGTAAAAAATGTTAAATAGTAAAATGGCTTTTACTGTTATTAATGTTAAAGACTAGTACAACGTCTCTCAAATGGCCGCGACTATCTTCCGCAATAACCTGAAATGACGCAGTAAAATGCCTTGTCTCCCTCTTCTATCTATTTCCGCTGTCGTACACTCTCGCATTTTCTGTTCATGTATTCCCAGTGACAGTTGGCTGTGCCCTATGAGTATCGAACTTGTGGGACTTTGTCGCAAAGGAGGTCAAAAATATTCAGGGGATTGTCTAAAAAGATGCATCCAAATCCACTTAGTAGCAATTTAAAATTGATTTTCTCAGGCGCCATTTTTGAATTAGTTTGCACTGTTTCGGACGCCAGGGATGGACAGCTGTGCTCCTTTTACGCGACCCGAAGAAGTATGTTATGTTTTACAAGGTTCCATTTTCTAGAAAACTGCTGAACAAATTGAGGAAGAGAAACTCCGTTCAAAGTACCCGAATCTTATAAAGGGGCCATGCCTCTTACAGAAAAGGCTGAACAAAAATGTTAGTGCCTTCCTCTTTTGCATATTACAGCCTCCTATGTATTAAAATGCGCTTGACCTTAAAGTTCTCAAGTTCTTGTGTCGCGTTTTCTTTTTAGTTAGTTCATCACAACCTGCTAGATGTAGATTTCATATCAAAGTTTTTCTCACCTATAGTCTAGGCTGCAGCCTTGACAATTATGTATTTGCCAGCGCTTCTAAGAAATTTCTAAATTTTTAACGTTTTTTGTCCCGTTGATTCGAACAACCACGTGCAAAGCGCAGACATTCCCCCTTGAACTCATGTCAACAACGGAATACAGACTGCGTTCTAACCATTGGCCCTTACACAAGATACTAGAAGGTTGCTGACGAAATGACCGTCAATCGGTTTTAAGTATGTTGTCTTGTTGCCTCTGCCTTTCCAGTCAATAGAACCTAAGCGCTAGGAAGTGACATCAAGCAAGCAGAATTCGTGCAGTCTAGCAACCAGTCTAGTCCACTAATTTCCCAAACCCATCATACGTACTATTTCGGCCCATTTTACAGAGCCGATGCCTCGGATCGTTGGAATTCATCATTGCTTATATTTCACTAACTATCCTATCGGCGAGTGTACACATGCAGTGGCGTCACTAACGTCTCTGCTGTTTACGTATGTACCCCAATCTCGACTGCAGGCCGTCAAGCGCAAATGCCTCCACAATTGTAAAAAGATGTCAAAAATCTTGTAATAATTTGACTGGACCAGGTGAATCGTCAAAGTACTACCTTATTGTCCCCGCTAGGCTTGGTTTTTCATGCGATGGTAGGAGACCTGCCATCTCCCCTAAATAGAATCGCATGTCCGTTAGCAGCACTGAGAGCACATGCCGACCCGGCACTTGTAGGTGTGTGCTCAACCAGATTGAATACATTTTATTCAGTCCAAGGTTTTCTAACAAGATGAATGACGGCAGGCTAATGCGTTACACAATGTGTGAGAGCATGTTCTCGCCCGTGCACGTCTTAAGATTTGCTTCTCATCCGTACCCAAAAATACTTCGTCTCAGTCACCTTGGTCTGCTCAACTGCTCAATACAGACTCTAAACGCAGGAATTCTTCCTCTCTCGCTCTCGGTAACTCTCTTTCTCACATCGTGCAGCCCATCTCATAGGGGAATGCAGCGGTAAATGGTCTGCGCGCTTTCCCTGTCTCGCCCAGCGGCACCGCAATGATTGGATCGATCTGTCCTGACCGCTGACATTAAAGCTCCAATTAATTAATCCTCCACTCAACATAAGATGACTACAGCGTTGATTAGAAAATGCTGCAAGAAGTATTTGACCGAGCTTTTGGGATTCGTGGAGCTAAACTTGTTTTGACTCGGTACAACTGTGATCATGCCAGATTTGGCCAGTCTCGATGATGTTGCGTGGAGGTCCGTGATAGCAGGCCTAAAGTATCAATAAAGTTCAGAAACTCTAGAAACATTCTAAACTATGTTAGGAGCTGTGTCCTAGTTAACATAATGACCTTCCATATTCACAGCGTAAACTGCCTGGGCATAGTAATCAGTGAGGCGGGAGTGTGCGTGCAAATACTGCCTTTGTTGATAATGTTTATGAGTCTTATGTCCAAATAATAATCACGCCAACAATCACAGATATTGACAAAGTTACGGCCCGCAAATGAAGGCAGCCAAGCAGTTATCGCGCTGAGTACGACTATCTCTGAGGCGCGCAGTAACCGCTAATTCTGATAAGTGTACGGTCGTACAAAAATTTCATCCCATGAATACTGCACCACCTGTGTGTTCATTGCCCTTGTATGCTGTTGCCTTTGACTACGGGTCTCAGTGTGAATCTAGAACACCAGACAAATAACATTCTTGTTCCAGCGATCGTCTCTCCTTTGACTGACGATGCCAAGAATAACTCTGGACCACACTATCACGTCGCAAGCAGAAAAGAAAGCAGGTCTGACTTGTCGCAAGTGTGAACAGTCGAATCACATCAATTGCAGTGATTTTACCCGAAGAAAAACACAGGGGCTCCTTCCTCTGCAAAGTTCGAGGCAAGCTTTTTGGAGCCTAACGGGGTGTGCAGCGCTATGACCGTGGAACAGTGGTACACGTGCAGTGTCTGAGGTTAAGTCATGCTGGTCCGACAGCGTCCATTACGGATTAAATGTGTGTGTATGTCACAGCCGAGCACTGCGCGGGCAGTGGTCGCTCAATGGGCTCCACCATTGGAGTGCAAGTCGATGTTGATACAATCATTGCACCAAACGGGGTTGACTGAGGATGCCCAAGGATGGTACGCAGCAACAGCACATTCCTTCAGTGCTCAGCTGGCGGGAATCTCTTCTCCACATACTGTGTCGGACCAGATGTACAATTCTGCAAGGAATCTGGAAATGCTGACAGTGCAAACAAACACCGATGGGCATGACCACCCTGACGCAAATTCGCAAAGAGATCTCTGCGGTTAGTTTGGTCACTGACAGTTACAAAGACTTCTGAGGGAGGGTGGAGGGCGCGCGTCGTTTCATTTGCATCTGCAGTTAGTCCGCTGAGCACATGCACTGTCACACCAGTAATCGCACTGACGCTGGTTCTAGTGGCTTTGGAGTGGGTGTATCGGTTTCATGCTCAGGCGGGAGCCTAATTAAATTAGGTACTCCGAGCAGGAAATCAACGGCCTCGTCACCTATCCTAGTCTAAACTCCGACCGGTCCAGGAGAGCGTCAATAACAATAAGCGACATAGATGTCCCAGAGGGTTTTTGAGAAAAGGAAAAATTGGTAGTGGCTCGCATTCAGGAACCTAAATTAGTTGGCATACTTTCCGAATTCGGACATTTAGATGATCTTCAAGAGGTCACCAAGAACGGTGAAAGCCAAGGTCGGGGCTTTTTAATGCTGGCGCACCACGACCTTATCTGCCATATGATTGCACTTCAGGAGGACCTCACCGGCCTGGAGGTGTTGTAAATTGGTATGCGGCTTCTGGACGAGAAATCTCTTACCTCAACTAACATGTACCTCCCATCAGCTACCTCCTACGTACCAAGGAGTAATCCCAACAAACAGTCTACCGGCGATTGACGAAATAAAACGCTAACTAGACCTTAGTAAGCCAGCCTTCCACTTAACGATGACTCATTCACTAGGAGAGACCTGGTTATCGGGAGCCTGGACGCTGACAGACCAGTGCTTCTGGTGTGTCCAGACTAGTGTTTCATCCTGCCCGATGTGGATCTGCGGACTGCGAATCTCGAAAGGTCCAAACACATGTTCTGGACAGCAGCGGTTTCCTGCTGTCGTTGTTCTCACGGGAAGTGGATGATCGGTCTGTTACCATCTTAGATTTCTCAGAGGACTCGTACAACCTGTTTACTTGCTGTGCTTTCGCGAAGAATTTGCGAAGAGCAAGTTCAGAAGTGTGGGCAGAACCTGATGTGATGCGCCCGCACTTAATCAACCTCTTCGGTTCCGTTTGTATAGCTTCACTTGCATGTGTAACCTCTTCTAGCACCCTACAATTATGTAACAATCTTGGCAAATGATTGATATTTGTCCTCTGTGAAGGCTTGAAAAGTCTCCAGGAGAGCTGGAGTCCATTGTGTGTGCGTCGTTCACCGATCAGGTAACTGATTATTTTTGTCCTGCGGCGTCGTGGAACTCAGTCTGGAGTCCTCATAGTCTGTCATGGTAGTGGCGGAAAAAACAAAAAGGAGGAAAACTTTAACGACTATTCACGGCCTTTTGGCCGTCGTTAGCGTTTATCGTTGAACTTAACGCCCAGTGTCAACCAATTCAGGTTATCAAAACCCGGGGTTGAGATACGACCTCTTGACGACTAGTTATAAACCAGAAATGCTCGCTCCAGTCGCACATATTCTTGTTAGCACTCCTGCATAGTTACCGACAATCTATCACCATACCAGTCTGACCATCAATGGTAGTGAAAATGCGATTCCCGGGTGGCATATCAAAAGATGAGGAGGCGTTCACCGGGGAGGTGTATTTGGGGTCTGACGTTTCGGGTAGTCGTTTCTTCTACCCATCTTCAGAGACTGAGCAGTCGTGCACACAGCTTTCCTTTTATGGCGCACTTTGTCAATGCCTGGCCCACCAATGCCGCCTGTGTGGCTGCATCCTACCCGCATGTCACCGTGACCTGAATCCCGCCTATTTTCCTCGGCTGTGGTGATAATTGGCGGCCCCGATTGTCCCGCGCCGTCAAGAATGTCCGTAAAACCAGATAAGGGGGGAGGTAAATTGATGTGGCGGTTGACAGAACAGTCGGTAGACATCCAGGCTTCTTTCACCTGCCTTGCCGTATGATCATCACCTCGGCCCACAATTTCAACGGGGGACAGTCACGGTGCGGGACAGTCGGGGCCGCCAATTATCACCACGGCCGACGAAGATGGGCGGGATTCAGGTCACGGCGACATGCGGGTCGGATGCAGCCACACAGGCGGCCTTGGTGGGCCAGGCATTGAAAAAAGTGCGCCATAAGAAGAAAGCTGTGTGCACGACTGCTCAGTCTCTAAGATGGGTAGAAGAAACGACTAGTCTGACCATCTTGAAGGGCGAGGTGATGGGATGGGTCTACCCATCGTTTGTGATTATGATTGGTAAGATTCTCCAAGTTACTCGTGATTGGGCTGGGTCTTAGCTCGCTGATCATTTTCGTGCGGGGTATCAAATGATGTCGCAAAGGTGTATTGTACTTGTGGACCACTGAACTTATTTTGGCTGCCCTTCTGTACTTCGAAACCTGCCTGTCATGCGTTATGTCTGCATAGGAAAGAGCTGTCGTCAATTCCCTTCTACTCCATAACCTGAATGCGCGCCCTTGTCTTGTCGGTATAGATAAAGTACTTCGACTCTGGCGACTATAACATGGCCAAGGCTAAATTGCCCTCGAAGACCCCAGCCACCTCGGCCAACCCAACGACCGTCGTAACGGACTTAAGCGCGGCCATCCCGGAAGTCTCAACTGGCGATACCATTCCTACCCCGGACAATGTGCCTGCGGTACGCAAGAAGACTATGCAGGCCATGAGCGCTGCCGAGCATGGTGCATGTCGCCTGCCTCCCGGTTCGCCCACCAAGCCCGCTGCGGAATCCGCTCTCTTTACCAGTGGCCACTAATACCTGAGTCACAGACGTTCCATCTCCCCCCCCCCTGAAATCCCCCACTTACTACCAAATCATAAAAAAATAATTCTGTACAAGATTTATTGTCAACGGAATGGGAGCAGGTTATGGTTCTTTTTGTGTTTCCTCGCGGTGAAAGTAGTGGCCAAGTTGCCATCATCACCACGACTTGCCCCGACGACTTTGCTGTATGCTGAAATCGCTTGTTGCGCTATCTCTACTCACTATATTTTCCACCCACTTACTGCCTGTTTGTGTATATGTGTTCTACTGGCCTACCTTGAGGCCCACATTTTTAGTAAGCTTCTGTTTTGTGGCGATTCGGGTGTTCTTTTTTAATTTTTTATGCAGTTTTCCACAAGCTACGAGCCTGTCGATGCCAGATACCCTTGTAGCCTAGTCTGATTTACAGAGCCGTACACCTACGCGACATCTACGTACACCTACGTGAATCATTGTTTCATGGATGGAAGCGAATATGCAAATCCCCGGTTCTTGTTGTAAAGAAGATGAACAAACGATCTCTGGAATCATTGCGTAGTTGAATGGCAGCAAGAATTCAGTGTCGTTTGTGTTAACAGTCCGGGACCGATTTTGGGCAATCGGTCGTCAGTACGAAATGGTGTCACTTGACCGGGACTTCCGATCGTCATATTGTTTGAGCGCTGTTTCACGTGTAATGGCGTCTCTAGTGGAAGCCGTTTATCTGCCTGACTGCCCCGGACACAATACCTCCCTACAAATGTCTTGGTACGAAGCATTTCCTACCTGGAAAAATTGATTTTGCGGCCGATAATATTTAGGTTTCCACCCCAGTAGCACGCATACCCATCGAGACATGAGAACTGAGGTCTTCCGGTACATAGTCCCGTTTACTCACAACTCGACAGCGTGTTAGCTTCGACCGATGTTCTGACGTTGCCTGAAATCCTGTATTAAGACTTCATGGATTGCGGCGTTTGCGCGATATCTGACAGGTCCGCCCTTACTGTACAGTTGCAGCGGTGAAATGCGTGAGACAATGACCACAGTTTTAGTCTGCAAACGCGGCAGCCGCGTCCAGGCACCGGGCCAAGGTCACCTTCCCAGTTCAGCCGCAATGAAGTTATTTCTTGTTGGTAGTCCGCATCATTCTTTTTAGCGGTCGTCCCTCAGAATGCTTAAAATGCTCCTATCAAGGCGCCTGCCATTTGAATGACTAACTTTTTGTTCCCCATGAGCATCTCAGTTTGGTTTGTTTATTCAAAAAGTGCAGTAGACTTCGCTTTCGGCTAAGGAAGTGGTTGCAGTGCAGCTGCCGGGTTTTTGCTTGCGTTATATGCTTCACGGAGTTAGCTGTACATCATTCTACTCACAAAGAGTTTCAAAAGAGCAACTGTACACGGTTCTTTGGTGTAAAGTGGGCCCCAGAATCGATGACTCTGTCGAATCAAACCTGAATGGGGTCCGAGCGGGTGTGCGACACGCGTGAGTCGGAGGCCTTGTGACACGTCAGCTGCTACATCTGACACCATCTCCAGTGAGCTTCATTCTGACTTACCACTGTCACATGATGATGAGCGATGACGAGCCTGCGGTAAAATTTCTCACTAAAATCTAACACCTGCAAGCCAACATTGTTCCCCGAAGAAGTTGGGGTCGTGTGTAACGAACGAGCGGTCATGTGATGCCAACTGAATGACCGGTGGGGGTTTATTGTCTTTTTAGACAACAGTCCCCGGGTCGAAATCCATGTTGGCAGTTTCAGGCATATCATCGACATGCCAGGTATTGAATGTTTGGGGGTGCAGGAAGTGGTTTGGATTGTTTTACTGCTGCGCCGGATGACAGGATCCCCGAGTGTCGTTTGATACATTGCCGATTCGAGATTATTCTGTTTTCACTCGCTCAGTCTGACCACCGGCTGAGAGCAGCAAGGCACGGCGCAGATGGGATCTATCGTATGGGTCATGAGCACTACGTGAAACCGAATTTCACTGCCTCACAATCTGACATACTTTCTCACTGCTACCCATTCGTGAATTGTATGCTTTTGGAACGCTGTGAACCATCGTGCGCCGTTCACCCTATGAACGGGTGATGTTCCTTAACACGAAGGCGAGCCAATTTGCAATTGGATTATTGTGTTTTATTCTTTAGATATTTTTAGTTATTTTGGTCTATCCCCGAAAGGCAACACATTGGAGCAAAAAGAAAATACCTAGGCTGCTGAATATTGAAAAACAGTGCTACTGCTCCGAGGTATGGCAGCACGTACTTTATTTAGGCAAGGCTGTGCAATGTCTTGTATGAAATAGGTGAACACTTCATTCCTTGTTTCAGAATGATGGTCAGCCAAATTGTTAATAAAACTGGGATATTTCTTACGACGGTCTTCACATAATCTTCAATTTGCGTAAGCTGACACGATCTGACTTGGGCCGCTCGAGCAGACTGACTTTTGGTATTTTCGCCACACGCATTTTTCTACTTTGGACCACAGTCTCGCTTTCTGTCACAGGTCAGTGGTGAGTTCTTGAATAGTTAGTTTGGCCGCCACCTCAGACTAATACGGCACGCTGATATAAATCTGCCGGTCTTGTAATTGCTTTGACGCCTGATCGCCAAGTATCATTATCGGAGTCTAGTCGTACCTCTGGGTACTTTTTACTCTTTAGTTGTCTCCCAAAGTGAATTATCATCAAATGCGTGGCTTTAGCAAAGGACTGATGACTTAAAAGTATCCATTCATGTACCTTAATTTATTTTGAAGGATTTGACGGCATATAAATTTCACAGGGTAACCGCCCGAAAAGCGCGGAAGTAGTAGAAGACGGATATCGGAAAAGATTATAGAAACCGGAGTGACCGTTTTCTGCTTGTTTGCCAACTAGCCAGTCATATCCCGATCGAACGCCGGGAGTACCTGACGTGTGAACTCAAGTGAGTTATCTATCGAGAACGGACGAACTTAGTCATCAAGAAAAATAGAACAGGCATGTTCGGAATCTTGAAAAATGCGGTGGGGCGCCACCGCTATGTAATTAAATACTCCCGATCGCAATCGGAATGACGTGGGTCCGTGACTAAACGGTGAAGCATTTCAATGAGATTCTCATTGACCAACTATGCCGGGTTTAGACCTAAGGCCTTCCAGGGACAAAATTGTAAGTAATGGCTACTATCAAATCTTCATCAACCGTCATCTTCGTATACATCCACTAATGTGGAAGAGTGTAGTTTGTTAAGTTTTCTGCTGCAGTTGCTCCGGCCATTATACAAATCGGACTAAACGAGAACCCGGATCATCGAGGTGGTGGTGGGGGTGGACATGAGCAGCACCTGCTGCACCCTCCCCCCCTAATCCGCCTGAGCTCGGTGTCAAGACTGGCAGGACCAAGTTATTCCAACAATTAACAGCTTTCCAAATCTCTGTTTTTAGCTCACTGTGATAGCTTACAGTCGCGTGATTGTCTATAGCGGTGAATATGCGCTGGGTGCCGGGGGGACGAAGTACTCAGGGTCGATCCCTATCTCACTTCCCCCTTCTAGGCGTCATTCCACTGCCGAGCCGGCCAGTCTTTGAATGCGGATATTGGACGTGTCACACACGACCTCGACCCCAGACGGCACACCAGGTTCTCACAAAAAGGGATGGGTGGCTTAGGTCTCACTCACATGAGGGCACAGTAGAGGTTACATTAGAGGTTAGAGGCGACATTATGCCTGACTCACAGTCTTCCAGCCGACCACTCTACAAGTGATAGCTTGACCGTCGTTGTCGACGAGGCCCACAGTGCGCTCCACAGTATGGTGAAATAGGGACGGTAACTTGCGCGTGAACTAGTTTGTAGTGATAGTAGACTTTCTCAGTATCTGCGCATTCTCCTCCCCCACCTGGGCCCGGTGTCAAGACCGGAGGCTGTCGAGGGCGCAGGTGGATGGCACGCTCGTGTCCGCACCTTGGTGCTCCACTCCACACTTCCTGGTCCACACAGCAAATAACCAGGATTTTAGTCAGCAAAAATGGGGGGGGGGAAGAGAGACGGCAGTCGGCAACTGGCTCTGCCATCGCACCCCCGAAATGCAGGCATTTGTTATGGCACGCATTCCGATAATGCCTGCCAGAGTCCGATATGGCCCCCGTGGTGGCCAAGCGCATCTACCATGTGGCCCATTTGGGGGACACGAACACTATGGCAAGATACCGGACTAATTCACCTTTGACAATCTGGTCGCGTTTTCTTTTACCATACTGCTTGTCTTCACGGGACGAAAACAACACTTTGGCTTACAAAATGTTGGCGGAAGCGGATTTTCGTCTGTAAAATACCCTTTCTAAGCACTTTCGTAGATTGCTAGAGAAGGTTTTTCATTCGGTCGAAAGTTTTGCGTGAGAGTCGGAAAAATCAGTAAAAAGCCCGAACGACACGTAAAGATGACCAAGCAATCATTTACATCATTTAGCAACCCAATACACTAAAAAATACATTTACAGTGCGTGACGGATCTCGTGAAATGTTGACCGAAATTCTGAATCGCGTTTTCAATTTGGAAGGATTATTTAGGTGGGATTGTAATACTGATTATTATGCGGCTTAACTTCTTTTCGCCCTCCTGCAGAAACCACACTCAGTAACAATTGACTACTTAATTAGCATGCATCTTTCGCATTGATTTCCGATGGTCTTATAGATTCAAATATGTTTTATGGAAAACATGCATGAAAATATGCTTTCTTTTACTCATTTTGTAGGAAATCGCATTGTCTTCACGTGTTATACCCGAAGAATTCTTCGAGAAATATGCACTTTAAAGTGCATATTTAGGTTTCGAAAATGTTTTCTCAATTTCCGAATAATTTTTTATCCAGATCAGAGGGTTCGTTCGCGTTTATCGATTACAGTCAACAGTGTATACTTTCAGCGTACGGGGAGCCAAGTATGTTTGTTTTGAATGTCTTTTGCTGGCACTGCTTCTCTTATAAATATAAATGAGCCCATTCATAGGCTATATGTGAGGTATTCCCTAATTTCTACGCGCATATGTCAGTCTGTTCTCGCTGATTATTAAGCAGTAACTGGTAACTTTTAGGAATTTGCACAGCTCACCTACATATCAGGAAAAATAAACTTTGTTGTGCTCTTTGTGAGTACGGTGAATCAGCCGGTCAACGGACAGGCTGTTAATGCTAAGTCCCGTGTGGCTGTGGCATTTGCCTATGAAAGCATTCAATAGGCTGTCTGATGTACAATGGGCTCTTTCTGTCTGTCGTCATGCGAAGGGTGCACTCTGAGTAGAGTCTTTTTATCTTCAAAATATACACAGTTTATTCATGATGCTTTCGTGATCGATTACATGCGGCCAGAAATTAGCCAGTCGTGCGCCTTCACACCTAAAATAAACCTGACCATCGATCGTGGCCTAGCGGCTATGGTGACTGAAACTTCTGGTAACAGGATCACCTCGGCCACTGCGGTGATGGGATTCACCATAACAATAATGAATTTTTTCCTGTACCAAACAGCCCAATGCGACCGATGATGACAGTGTCATCCTTGTGATGGCGTAGTCTGCTCGAACCGGCTCCAGTCAAACCCTCGGCGAGTGATTATCGGGTTTGAAGTGGAGACAAAACCGACCCCACTTGCCGAGTACGTCGACCGCGCGATAACTGTCAGCGATAATCATCCTTCAGGGGAAGATCACGACTCCTATCTGAGAAGAATCACCTCACAGACCGCCAAAACTGACAACATGGTTACTACGAACCTTGGAAGCGGGACACTCCCCAAGAAAACTATAATACTGATCTAAGCATCCCCGCAACATCTTCTTCAGGACGAAAATCAGAATGTACAGAGTTGACCGTCCAAAAAGGCCACTTTTTGTTGCTGAACTCTCAAAACCCTTCAAAGATCAATCTATAGAGCTCAGTGACTTCCACCCATGGTGATTTCGAAGAATATTTAAGATGAACGCAAAGAAACAGGCCCTAGGTACTCCAATGTTGGGGGATGACCGAAATTTTTGAGAATATACGTCATTTCAAAGTAAATCTAGTTACACCGAATCAGTCATAGTCAAAGGATGATGAAAGACTGTATGCGGAGGCAAATTTTATGTGAACATTGCTAGGTACACTCCCTGCCAGCACATGGCACTTTCATAGGCGGGGCTGGGTGGGACCAGAGCCCCCTCTGGATGGAAGCATTTTGAAGCGTATTTGCATCGAACGTTATGTTTCAAAAGCACCGCTCATTGTACCTTTTTGGCATTATAGGGAGTTAATTTATCAAAAGTGGCTTATAAATCATGGAAAAAGCATTTGTTTACGCCCACGGATCGCGGATAATATCGTGCGTCAACCAATGCTGTTTTCATGTCCTTGATAACTGTCTTAATTAATTTATGTATCTTATGCTAATTGCTTTGATAGTTACTCACCAACCAGTTCAAGTAGTCGACTTGTATGTCTGTGTATGTACTATTTGGCATTGGTGTTCATAGTCCACTTAAACAAATCGTTTATCGTTTTCTACTGAATATCCAAAGCAATTATGAAGGTAAGTACTATGACTATCGCCGGATCACTATATACAAGCGCATTAAGCGCCAGATGAAGGCATATTATGAGGCCACTGAAGAGCCTGAGTCTGAGGTTCCCTCAACGTCGACAGCAGTTGGCAGTCAATCCCCCGAACGAAAAATGCCTATTCTCAGTTCTAAAACTTCTGCCGGCAGGTATTATGTGTGTGCGTCTCAGGGGACTCATCATACAGGTCGATATTTTAAAGGAGTGCCAAACGTGGGCGGACATCTGGCGTCTTCTGCGCATTTTTTTCGCTGATGGGGCCAAGCGGGGCTGTTGCGTAGAAGGCCTCACCACAGCCCCCTTAACAGCCCCACCTAACCCCTTCATAGCCCCCTCTAGCCCCGCCATATCTGAGGGGCTTAGGCTTGACTAGTGCTGGCAGGGTTAATTATAGGTTGACCAGGCCCAAAGGCTAGTTGGTCTCCTCACCAAATGGCCATTTTGCGCTAACAAACTTGATCTTCTGCTGTTTCCGCGTCCCTGTGAATTTTATTTCGCTGGTGGGGCCAGGCGGGGCTGTCGCGTAGAATTCCCCGCCACAGCCCCTTCATAGCATCCTCTAGCCTCGCCATTTTTGAGGGGGCTGGGCGGGGCTGGTGCTGGCAGGGCTGGTAAACATGGCGGACAAAAACGTCGCTCCAACAGCACACTAAGAACTTGCTTTAAATGCCTTCGGATCAACATACAGACTTGTAAAATTCAGTCACCGGGCCCTCAGGTATAGCGTACAGTCGCCAAAGCTGGAACGGCTTTCTTTAAACCAATGGGACAGACAGGAAAGCCTGGTATGCTGCAACCGAATACTGTCAGCATTCAACTCATGTCAATATTTATTTGCTCTCAACACTACTTAGAGGTCCGGACTGGCCTTGGGGGGAAAATGTGAACAGGAGCAACATAAAATTTGCAATGACAATTGTCACTGGCACCATAACTGCCGATATCTCTGCCAAGTGTAGTTACTCTAAAGCGTGTCGCAATCCAGATTTGTCTTGACTGGGCATTTCATGCCCACCGAAAAGGGAATACTCTCATTAGGCAAAGGAAACCAGCCGCCGTCACTGTAAATATCGACACAATGTCAACTTATTTGCGTTGCAACCGCAAATCGCAATCATGCATCGGCGTAGTCGGTTGCCTACGAATCCATCGCAGTACAAGAGAAGAACCAATCCTTGCTGCCCCGGTTGGTACCCGTCGCTCATACCTGCTTTTGTCCGCATTGCCGGTTATCGCCTGGCCCCATTTGGTCTTATTAGCATACGCGGTAAAGATCAATAAAATATCACCGATCGATCAAACTCGCATCAATTACACACACGTATCTGGTGCATGTACCTTTACGGTATTATGTGTCTGCTTATCACATACAAACCAACTTCCTTAATGACGAATTAAATTATATACTTGCCCGTGTTTGCGCATATGGCACTAATAAACGGAGCTTCTCCGCCAGTTCAATCAGTTTACTCATCTACTTCCTAGTCGGCCGGCTCGGACAGGCAAATTCTATTAGGAAAAGGGGGAATAAATAAAGGTTAACCATGAGGAATTTCTCTTCAGGACAAATCAGTGCGCTACCCCTAACATAAATAAAACGCACTTAAATTTATCACTGCACTCCAAAACGTGTAACTTGGAAGGCTGACAGTAAGCAGCCGCTTCGACCCTCTGGAGCATTAAATAGACTCGCGAAGAAGGAGGCACGATCCCTGGGACAGAAGCTTTATTAACCTGATGCTTTGGATTGTTACTCGAATCCATCACCAGCGACAGGGTCGGACAAGGGCAGTGGATTGCCTAGGTGATGCAATATTTAAAGGATGTAGTTGCTAGACTGCTACATGTCTAGCACAGTCGGCAGCTCCCGAATGCATCAAGGTTCTAGTGGTCAATAAAGGCCTTGTTCTAGCGGTCGCGTCCCCTTCTTTGCGACCACTCCCTGGAACTCGCCTCTTCGCCTTTATTAACACGAGGCATACTGTAATGGCTGATTCTTAACACTGTCCTTTAGCCGTCTTCCTTTTAGGTGGGATCAAAGCCCGTATGTAGCCTGTGTTGGACAGCAAAACCGGCTCGTCGCCCAATGTGCAAAATTCCATTCTCAGTACGACTAAGACGAGCCTCTAATGCAAGAAAGGTGAGTGAGCAAACGAATCCTATCTATCTCAGATCGAACACATTATTTCCTTACCATAAACAGGGTAACGCGCTCCAAAGCCACCCCGGTGGGCTCATGGGCGGGATTTGGATGGCTATCGATCGACGGAATAACCTTTTCTCACACTTGTCTGAGGATCAGGCCGCAATGACTTTCTCTTTATATAATTTATACGGAACTCTCGCTTGCGTGGAATCCAGGACACTCAAATGAGGTGTTGTATGTGTGCAGACAAGGACGGGTTGATTCTGACTGCTAGAGCTGAATTCAATAGTTCTTTGATTATTTCCGTGAAGAAAAATTATGTACATGTCTGTAACCGCGCCATATAGACCAGCTGCAAATTATACGGAACTGTGCACCCTGCGTTCAATGGAGCGATATGCATGCGAAGTGCTCGATGAATACCTTCGATTACCATCTACTAAAGACAACCCTAGAAGCTCTACTCACGCAACGTATCTTGTTTCCAACTAGAGCTCGTGGAGGGCAACAGGCCAGTTGTCTGGACCTCGTTTTTACCAAAGATCATGACAGTATAGACGAGGTGCACAACCTACCCCCGCTCGGTCGAAGTGATCATGTAGTGCTTTTATGGGAGTACTTGCTGTATTCTGAACCGTGTACAAAAGACAATACGAGGCCGAATATATGGAAAGGGGACTTTCGCCAAATGAGAGCTGAGGCATCACAGATAGACTGGGATGTTCTCTTCTCCGGAAACGTTAACGAGGACTGGAATTTATTCAAGGATCGTTTACTGCATCTAATGAAGAACCACTGTCCCTTATCAAAGCCTAGGATATCCAACCGCCCTTGGTGGCTAACACGAGAGTTCAAAAAGGAAATCAACAAGAAAGGAAGGTTATGGAAGAAATTTCGCAAGAACAACAACAATGCAGCGTTTACAGAATACAAACTTCAAAGAAATAAGGTGAAAAGTCTGATTTTCAGGAGGCGACGAGATTTTGAGAGTAATTTGCTCCACCAAGCCGTTAAAAATCCGAAATTGCTCTACAGCTATATGCGGAAAAGCACACGTAACAGGAATCCCATTCCTGTTATGAGGGGTGATGACGGCTTGGAGATATCGGACAGTACAAATGAGGCTGAGCACTTTTCTCAATTATTCCGATCCGTTTTCGCAAGAGAAGCAGACTTTACCCCATCTAATTCTGAGAACATGAGAGATCCCACTATCGAAAATATTGTGTTTCGAGAAGAAGCGATTTTGGAAGAACTGAAAAGCTTGAAGGAATGTGAATCTCCCGGTCCGGACGAGATCCCAGCAAAGCTGCTCTTTGAACTTGCCCAACAGCTGGCCAAGCCATTATCCTTTCTGTGCCAAAAATCGTTTGATGCTGGAATTCTTCCCACAGACTGGAAGACGGCCCAAATTACACCCCTTTACAAAAGCGGTAGTCGTGCTCTGGCGACAAACTACAGACCCGTCAGTCTGACATCAATCTGCTGCAAAGTGATGGAGAAAACCATCAAAAAGGAGGTGATGGCTTACTTGGAAACCCACAACCTCTTGTCCAATGCACAATATGGTTTCCGTAGGGGAAGATCATGTGTTACGAACCTGCTATACACAATGCAAAGTTGGACACGAGCACTGGACGCAAAACACACCGTGCACGTGGCCTATATTGATTTCCGGAAGGCGTTCGACAGTGTTCCGCACCAGCGTCTCCTACACAAGTTGAGAATTATGGGCATCGGCGGCAAGCTTCTCAAATGGATCGACAATTTCCTTGTCGGCCGCTCCCAAATTGTCTGCGTAGAACAACAGCAATCAAGGTGCACATTCATAGAGAGTGGGGTCCCACAAGGCTCGGTGCTCGGACCAACCCTCTTTCTCTTGTTCATCAATGATTGTGTAGATGGGTTGGACTGTGATTGTGCCATGTTTGCGGACGACATAAAAATCTGGAAAGTCATCCAGAATGCCGCCGATGAGACCAACTTCCAAGAAAATCTTTGTCGATTGGACGAGTGGTCCCGCAGATGGCTCTTGTCCTTCAATTTGAACAAATGCACCATTCTGCGCCTCGGAAATCAGACCCCTAATACGCGGCAATACCATCTGAACGGAATACCGCTTCGATATGCAGAAACGCAGAAAGATCTCGGAGTCTGGGTTGAAGACAGCTTAAAGCCTTCTACACAATGTTGTAAGGCGGCCAAGGCCGCAACCTCAATGCTATATGCCATCAAGCGGGCATTCGTAGTTTTCGATGAAGACTCAATTCAATTCAATTCAATTATTTTTATTAAAGACCCGTCGGGGTCCCATCAAAGCAAGTAAAAATAAATTTACATGCAAATTTTAGACGATGTAGGCAAAATCTGCACAAAGTGCAATGCATAGTTTTTGAGATTAGAAGTCCGTTAAGCAAAATGAAAATGAAAAAAACGAGGGGTGAAAAAAAAACTCCAAAGCAAAATTTAAAAATGATTGTAGTAATTTAACAGGAGAAAAAAAAACCCCTCAGAAAAATAGCATCAGAAAAAAAGGGAGGACTGGCCTGCATGTGGCGGTACAAAATGGAATAAAGCCCGACATCAACATGGCCGAAATAGATGTCAGCTGTATATGGCATTGTGTAACGGATTTCATAAAATGGTACGTAGGCGGGTCGGTCAGGACTGGCCTGTATCGCCTTGAATAAGAAAAATAAGTGCCGAAATTGAAAACCAGTCTCAAGCCGATAGGAACCCAGATGCGGTCAGTTTCATTCAACCGAGTCCATCCGAACATGGAGGGAACATGGGGGGAAGGGAGATGCGACCAAACCACTAGTATATGGCGAATATAGAAGGCTTTGTCAAGATCGCCGATGGAGCGCATTCTGCAAGGGCACGATGACAACCAGTCTTGAGGCGAAAAGGACCCAGATGCGGTCTGTTACATTCATCAGAGTCCATCCGAGCATAGGGCAAATGAGATGCGACCAGATTACTAGTATATGGCTAATATAGAAGGCTTCGCCAAGAGCATCGATGAAGCGCATTCAGTGAGGGCATCATGAAGATCAGTCTCGAGGCGATAGGAACCCAGATGCGGTCGGTTACATTCATCCGAGTCCAACCGAGGATGGGGGAAGGGAGATGCGACCAAACTACTAGTATATGGCGAATACAGAAGGTTTCGCCAAGAGCGTCGATGGCGTGCATTCTGTGAGGGCACGATGCATGAACTAAAAAATTGGAATAATTAACATTTCTGGTGAGGGATCTTAGGTAGCGAGACTGCTTCACCAAAGTCTTCGGCACGTTTATAAGGCCCCATCTCGAGTATGCAATTCAGGCCTGGAGACCGTGGACGCATCAGGATTACGATCTGCTCGAAAGGGTGCAGAGACGAGCAACAAAATTAATAAGAGGTCAAAGTGCACTGCCATACGAGATCCGCTTAACTAACCTTAATCTCTATCCTCTGAGTTATAGGCAGTTGCGCGGAGACATGATACAAACTTTCCGTATCGTGCGCGGCTTGGATTGTGCCCTTCGGCGCGATGACTTTTTCCAACTCGCCACTACAACTCACCTCCGGGGACATCCCTTCAAGCTACGTGTGCCACAGAGTAGACTGAATGTGAGAAAATATTTCTTCTCCAACCGTGTCGTGGAACCGTGGAATAACCTGCCCGAGATGGTTGTTACGTCTCAATCTGTGGAGGCATTTAAATGTCGCCTTGACAGATATATGTTGCAGCAACAAGCGGACTATGTGACTTTTTAGCCATGTGACTAGTGACATATGTGAATCAATGTATGCATTCACTTAATGCTGTAATTTCTTCACATTTTTGTTTGTTTATCGATTTTTTATGTACAAATAGGGAGTTCAAAGGCGTAAGCCTATTTCCCTAAAATACACTGACTGACTGACTGACTGTGCAAAAACTGCCACGCTTCTGCTCAGAAATTACCTGGTCTTATGATGCGAATGTTTTAGCGAGAGCATAATCACAATTAACTGAATATCTTTCAAAGCAGGAAACCAAAGCATCTTACTGGAGAGTGACTTGTTTACCCCATGAGTAATTAATCCTATCTTCCCTTCAGAAACCCCAGTTTGGACGAAGTGGTTCATTCGTGAGTCACTTTGGCGGGCGTGACCTTTGGATCCGTCGACTCTGTTGGAATTTTGGCAGCGGTACCATCCACTACTCATCCGTTATCTGAGTACGGCTCATATTCGGATACTGGGCCGCAAAGGAAACCTCACTAGAAGAGAATTCCGGAAATAATCTAGGCGTAACGTCCGTAGCCTAATAACAAAGCGAGATCGTTGCAAGCTCATAACGAGGGCGCAAATTAACGGTCCCGAGCTCGTTTCAAGCTCCGGTTTGTGCAGGCAACCAAGCTCGTAACGAACGCGTAATTTCGCGATAGCGGACTCGTTCCGTGCTCGTCCTGATATCTGGCCAGCCCACCCTCACCCAATTCTTGTTCACCCCTAGATCCTTCCTGAGATAATAAGGATTCAAACTACTTATGGAAAATTTTATTTATCAAAAAATAATGCAGAAAAATAATGTTTAAATATCCTATGGAGATTCCTGAATTGCGTCATTCGGTGTTCTATCAGGATCGTCAGCCATTGGGGCATCTGAAATGAAGATAACATAGAAGAATGAGTGCACGCATTACATTTTACGTCTAAAACAAAACTTAAATAATCACACAATTTAATCCTTCAAGTATTTATTACCGTTCTGCAAACCACTTGTCTATGCCTTATTGCATTGGCGTTGTTGCCTGTCATGTGTTCATTTGAAGACGTACCTACTATAGCACATAGTGTGTACAAAAGTGCTGTTGATCTAAAATCCCTGCAGTCTCGGTTTTTATATTTTCGCATAGAGAAGGGTTGATACGAGGAGGAACGGTTGGCGAAATAGATGGCGTACAATTGAGTACCTAGTGCAAAACAAGTCATACGTGAACTACAGGGGTACTTTTTATATTGTGCATGAAATACTTGTATACAAAGAAGAAGAGGCGTTTTCCTGCTGCGGCTTGCGTTGATAAGCTCCATGGGGCACAACGCAGGCAAATGAGCACTTGTGGGACATATGGTTATAATGTAAAGATGGAGTGAAATTTTCCTAAATTGCGCTAGTTAGGCTAAGAGGGCTAACAAATTTCTAGTGCAAAACTCGACGTTCCCATTGGATGGCACACGCAAGTCCGCCATTTTAAATTCTCCAATTCTATTAGCCCAGGACACTTTGAACTGTCGATCTCATTGGATTTCGTCAAATTAAGTCAAACGTTTTCGACTAACCATTGGGTTTTGATATGGCAGGAGGGAACTGGCCAGTTTTTGTTTTACGAAAGTGCCCTGTTTCGAAAAAAATGGAGTAGTCGTTTGTTTTTTGTGTGCTTGCATGACCCACAGACGGAGTCCGCATTCCAAACGCCTGTGACAGCCTCTAACTTTACGCTTCCCGTGGTTCAGCCAGAAAGTCATCGAGATTATATCGTTAGGAAAACTCCTCTGGATCAACCTTAATCTACGAATGTTCTTCCCTTCCCTCTGGTTTCCGAATGTGTATGCACTCACTGACGCTTTTTGTTCTTCCTCTCTCCGTCTCCACTCATTTTAAATATAACGTTCACAGTACCGACTATCTTAGTTGTCCAGGCTTTACCTGTTGGTCTGAAATACTGTCTGCCATGTGATGCCGAAGTCAAGAACTGATCAGTTAAACCAGCCGGGACCGACCCCTGTTCCATCTGATTCCATCAAGACGACGAGCATTAACCCAATGTCGATCTCTGCGACATAACAACCAGACAGACCGCCCACTCAGGCAAATTCGGTTTGCCTATTAGCGATCCTGTAAAGACTAGTCTAAAGCCCGAATATCAATAAAAACGGTCCCGATGATCCTATTAGATACGATCTACTTTCTGGTATACTTGCAATTGATTTACGTATACCCATTGGTCTATTTTTATGTTAGCCTATCCAAATCGTCTGGAGGCCCTATAAAAACTAAGCAGGACTGACGTTGATCACCCTTGTACTGGTGGACGACTTCCGGGCGCCACCTCCGCTACTACATCGTCTCCGCTGCCCGGACCCAACAAGGCTTGCATCCAAACAGGCCTGTCCCCGCCATAGGACATCACAGTGTTCCCGATTTGGCCCGAACTCCGAAACCGTCTTTTATCGTCATAAATAATCCCCAAACTCCCCTGAGGAGCCCGTCTTTCCTTCTCACTGGGGATCAAAAGTGACTGAGTATAGCGTTATTAATCCTCGTCTCGTCTGGGTGAGTTACAATAGTAAAAAGGGGTTGAGAACTCGAAACACCGGTGTTCCGTTCTGCAACCGAACTGGCTAGATAAATACACCCATTCATGAATTAGAACACATATAAAGCAGCAGATTGCGCATGAAAGCATAATTTAGCTTGCCGTGCGCGTGTCTTCGCGATTAGAGGATTATTCGCAGTCAAGGTTTAAAGCGGGGCTGACGACAACAGTAAGTCAGATGAAAAGTCAAAAGGAAAATAAAGTCAAAGTACAGTCGAAATGGATGAGTTTAGTTTAAGTTTTTTTCTGAGTCCAAAGGAGACTGACAATGCCTAAGGGCTGCTTTAATAAACCTATTCTTTTCCATTCTAAAGAAAATATGCTCATTTGGACTCACGATTTGTAAACATTTTTGGCGATAAGTTTATCTTCACTTCTTTTCCATCGCTTTCGCTCTAGTTGTGTCCCTTTCTGCTAGTGTTATTTGTTTCTTTTTACAATTCTCACGACAGTCCCTTCTAGAGATCTCTGGGGAGGCTTTTCAAAAGAATGAAGTCCCAAGTGCCAATGTGAGATATATAGCCATCTCAGATTTCCTCGGACAAAAACAGCTAAAATTAGTGCTTAGTTCTTCTGAAGAGACTTACTGTGGTCGACGGAATATGTATCGGTGACATTTCCGCGTGCCTTGGACTTGCGTGCAGCTGTAACAGCCGTTTCTCTGTAACCTCGTTCGACTGTATACGCGCCACGGCTGCGCACACTAACCCTCGATCTGTCTCGCTGAAATCCCGTCCACATCAGATTCTTGATTGATCTTCTGCCCACCCCATGCGAAGTTTGCTACTGTAACGTTCCCGTCTAACGCGAGTATATAGTCAACGAGGCCCAACAGGATAAGACGGAGACTAGTGACTATTTTACTGAAGGACCTATGTACTAAGCGAAACTAAGGGGGAATCCTCGTTACAAAAATAAACTGAATCTAGGGCGATTGCCCAAGAAAGCGTCTGAGGGCACTGGGATCCAGCGGAGAAGTTGATAGGGGTTCCTCATCCGACGAGCGGCGACCGGCCACGGGGTTCCTGGAAGCTGATCCTCGCCCGTATTTATCGCTCCTCCAGGCGCTCAGGGCGTCAAGTTGGAGTCCCCATTGTTGATTGATTGAAGGTGGGTTAAAGGGAGAGAGTTAAACAAACTTAAGCTGGGACTATTTTGTTTAATTTAGGGATATATTAATTTATTATATGCATACTTTTTAGAAGAAACCAGATTGCTACTAAGTACCTGGCGTATCAATATGGAAAAGTCCGGCGCGCGCCTTCTAAAACCTACAAGATGGTTACACGTAGTCTGACTTTCTAGAAATTCCTGCGCCACGAACCTCGCGTGCTCTCGAAGCCAATCAATGTACCCTATTCCGTTTATTAGTGACAGATGTGCAGACTAAATTAGTGGGTGGTAACATCAACTGCACACACACGGGACGCCGTCTTTGCGGACGTGACTTTTCACGGACAGAACAGAGGGACACAACACACAGCAACTTTTGGTGGTAGCGACACACAGCAAGACACCGCGACTGGCGCCCTCAAAACGGACGCTTATCTCTGTCACAAGCAGACAGCCGACTCACGGCGACCTGTCCTGTGTACAGAATAAACTAGTCCTCACAACTTCCTGACTTCTGATACTAGTCGGAGCGAAATTATTGTATGTAGTTAAAGTTGATGTCATATGTTTGACTACCACACAGCCACAAACATATTCCGGAACGGTTATTGTGAGAGAAAAGAGTCTAGATGAAAGCACTTAGGCAGCGTTTCAAATTTCAGCTTTAAACCACATTAATTCTAACTCATGTCAGTCAAGTGGTAGATTAAATTTGTGCAAAATCACGATAAACCTGATGAAGTGTATTCAGATGTGTAGAGAGAAGCTTACAGTTAAAACCACTCTGCTTTATTCCATAGAGATTGTTGTCTTCCTTGATGGTGATGCTACCGGCGGACTTATAATTGACGTAGAATATATTTCGCTGTCCTCAATATGATAGTAGCAAACGCTCTTTTCTGAATTGAGAAGCTCGTAAAATGTTCTTATTTTACGCGCACATTTAACCCTGTCTCACACAGATTCCGTTGAAAACCTGTCAAGCACATACTGCTTCCAATATCAGGTACGCACCGAAAATCCTCCGCCTTGCGTCTGGGCCTAAACATCCGTCAGCATGATCAGGGAGAATATCCGCAATTTACAGAACTGAGTATTTTTCACTTTTCGAACTCCAGCAGGCGGTACCGCACTCGACGCAACATTCATAATACTTGCGTAGGGTCACGGTCTTGATATCGGTGTACCTACTATTGTAGAATACCTCTGCGTATATGAACTTTTATTATACGTCATACCTTATCGAACCACCAGTAATTTGAATAATCAATGTCAACTGTTTTTTTACATCAACTTTAATGTTGCTATAGGTCATTTGTAAAAACGCAAAATAGGAAACATTTACCGTTAGTCGTGGAGGCGTGATGGAAAATAAACGACCAATTATTCCACCAAAAGAGACAAAAGAATACCTGGCAAAGCATGAAATTCCTCAGCTCTTCGAAGTGAGTATTTGAATCCCCTACATATTAATACGAATTTATTCAATAACACAAATTTTAGTGCCTTATGACCGGATTGATGTACCATAGACCTGTGGACCCACTACAGTATTTGCAAGAGTGTATAGAGAAGATCAAACGACAGGGATCTCAGAATGTAAGATGGGACCTTTTCCTGGAGACGAAGCGCAGCTGCCTTCCACCGCTTA